TAACAGTGCTGTATGAGCACCAGAAGGTCAGCATGGATATGGATAAAATACACGAGAAGGGAAGTATATAAAAAAAAAGGAGACTAAATGCAGCCAAACAGTCACCACACCTCTCAGTGCTACCTTCGTGCCTGGGACTCCTGCTCCCTGCGGGATATCCCTGCCAGAGCACTCCAGGTCACCATGATGCTTGTGGGATCTGCTGGTGGGGCTGGGATGCTCGCTTTGGCAGGAGGAAGACAAGTGCTCTTGCGGTACATTAGGATGGATGCTATGGGATATAAAAGATAAGGAAGAACAGGGAAGAATGATGTTCTGGCTGGAGCTGTACATGGAGGAGGTTTGGAAAGGATACATCCCTTGGGGATGGTGGGAGGAGAAAGGTACTAAGGGACAGGAAAGCACCTTCCCAAGGCAAGCCGTGCTCCAGCCAGCTCCCTCTCCAGCAGGAGCAATGGGACATCCCAACCATCCCCTTCTCCAGCACCCAGCCTTGCGCTAGGGAGGTTAGAGGGGACGCTCCTGTCCAGTCCTTTCCACTTCTCCATTTAACATTGCAGCAAACGGGAAACAGCAGAACTGAGAGCAAAATAGATATTTTACATAGGTTTTATCCACCTGTGACTGTGCTAGAGCCACCAGCCCCAGTGGGAGAGGTGGCCACAGCGCTATGAGATGAGGAAACTCAACCGGGACAGCATCAGTCTCTGCTCTCCCAATGGGGCGAGCCATGGAAAGTCGCAATTCCAACTAAGTTTAGCCTTTGGGATGAGTGCCAAGAAGGACACGAGGAGAAGCAGAAAAGGCTGCTGGCCAGACTGCTGGTGTCATGGTGCACGTGGGCAGATGTGGTATTTCGAGGGCTGCGGGCAATGGTCTCATGGCATGGCTGGACTGATGACACACACAGCAAAGAGATTCTGCTTTAAATAAGAGCAGAGGGCTCAGAGCTGTCACAGGCCTTTTTCTGATGTGGGAACTACAGCCAACAAGTTCTCTGCATTTTATCAGTGCATTAAACTGGCGGATCCTGGAGCCACCGGCTCTGACTAATCCTGGAGACAAAGCAGGCAGCAAACCCAGGGGACCAAACAGCTCTCAGATGGGGAGACAGCTTTTAGACAGGCAGCAACAGGCTAAGAAGCTCTCATTTTGCCTTGTATTTGCTTTGCTATGGCCCCCGTCGCTGCAAGCTTCTCTACAGACACAACAGTGGGTTTCGTGGGGGGAAAATTTGGCAAGCAATAGGTCAGGAGGTTGAGAAGATCAAGTACAAAAAAAACCCTGAACTTCCTATCGACACCAATTTTGAGACTGAAATTCCTGAGCACCAGCACGCTTCCTACCTTGTCCCTGGAGTGACGCTGTCGTGACCAGTGTCCCTGCACCAACAGAGCCAGCCAAGGTCCTTGCCAAGAGCCTGACAAGGACCTCAGCTACTGACCCCATCACCGTCCAGCCTCAGCTAACGGGGTACAGCACCACCATCCGCAACCAAAACTGAATTCACATCAACCCCCGTAAGAGAGAGCTTGGGTTTAGCAAGCTAATATCTCAATGCATTTACCCTAGGCTTCCATTTCTGTGCTGTGAGATCAAAAAGTCCTCACTGAGTAAGATATCGGTATTTCTGCTTATTTGATTTATTGATAAAATAGATAAACTGAGAAATTTTGATTCCAAGGAGTGGTAAGTACTCGACAAAGCACAGTTGAGATTATTTTTAAAATTATAATTTAACAAACCAAGCCAATACTGTCCGCAGGTCAAACTCAAATGATTACTAACCCGATGCAATGAAATCCAAATGCCTCACCAACCGAACCAGGACATTCCTATGAGGTACAAGTGCTTTACCTTAGCTGTATATTATTAGGCAAGCACAAGAAACTCACAAGCCATTAATTATAGCAGGATATAGCCAATGCTAAATTCTCTATCACCACCATTATTTCTCTTGAGAAAAAAGATAAAGACTTGCTATAAATATGGCTTTTTTTTCCCTCCCTTTTTTTTCTGCTCACTTAGAGCTAAGTTTTATTTCCAGACATAAACACTCAGCTGCTAGAATTGACATATTTCTGATAAAAACATGTCTGAGAATCACACAGCAGCACATGTGGGATGCAAAGGCCAGGTCATCTGCTTAGAGATCCATGTCCCAGCGACAGCAGATCTCATTAGCGTAAACAATGTGTAGATACAAATATACCAGAAGGGGAGGAGATGCCCTATGGCATTCCAGCTCCTTTCCTCATATCTGTGTCCCCCAAGAAACTCCACATGGGAGAGCTCTCAACAGAGGGGACAGGTTTTGCTCCAAGGCCATGAACATTTCCTTGCCATTAACTTAACAGAAACAGAATTTTGTGCAGATTACTGTAAGGAATGGATTTACCCTTGGTGACCATCTCCCTCCCGCTCAAAAATGTGGCGCAATTTCGTTATTTGAGAGTCCGTAAATACGTCTTTGTCTATTCGCATCGCAAGGCGCTCAGAGGAGAAAAAACACTCTCTGTACCCCAGTGACACTCTCTGCATGTTTTCTAAAGCACTGCTTTAATAAAAAAACAATTAAGGTCGAGCACGTAGCTTACAATTCTGCAGTGTTTTAAATACATGTTCTTAAAGAAGCAAGGAAATAAAAGGTATCGCCTTCTCTTAGTCCTCTTTGAACACACATTATAATGACAACGCATCTCACCAGTCTCCTATTATCGGATTATCATTTACACTCAGAACCTGTTCATTACTTTAATTCTCCCTTTAAAACCCAGATGAAACCAGTCAGATAAAACCACTTGTTTACTGTATCAAATTGCAGGGGAATTTTGCCTAAGGACTGAGCATTGGACTCTTTGTGCTATAATTTGTATGTATTTTACAGTATTAATTTCCACCAAACTTGTGTGAAGCTGAGCCAATCAGATGCTTGCAAAAAATTAGTTATCCAAACTTCACGATGTGTACACTTTTAACTGCATTTGTTTAATGCTGAAAATGACAGTTTCTATTGGAGAACAAAGCAAATAAAAGTGACTCAAAAGAGGGAACATTGCAGCACCATTGCAGAAACCTTTACTAAAGTTAGCAAAACTATGTATACCAAAAGAGTCAAGAAATCATTATACAACTTCCTTTATGATTACATTCTACTTGTCTTTAATTTTCACTCTTCAACATTAACATTAAACACCGTAAATGCAGGCAATATTTATATAAAATTAAATAACAATATTGGAAAAATAAATACACTTTTACATAAATATATAAATCCATACTGCTGAAAAGTTTCAGCTAATACTATACTCTTGTTTCAAAAGTGACCAAAAAAATATGGTAGCGACACTCCATCTGAACGGATGAAGTACGGAGAGCTACAGAGCAACGTTTGCAGTCAAGGGCAGAGCTAAAGCAAATCAGGTGATAACACAGTAGAAAAAAAAAAGAAATAAAAAACAAAACCAAAAATATCTGGGTTTACTACAGTAGTAGCACGAGGTAGACGTATACGTAGTGTATTTTGTAGGAGGGACGTGAAGCCCCGGTCCCCTATTGACCCCGTAGGTACCAGCCCCAGCGGCTGCTCTGGGGGGATGCCGACTGCTGCGGGACACCAAAACGCAACGTACCTCGGCCCAGACCTTTGCTTCTTGCACATGTTCCAGCACCGGTAATAAGGGTTAGCAGCAACTTTTAGTCGGTAGCTCCGGGAGAAAAGCAACTGCACGGCTTGCTAGGTCTGCTTAGCTCAGCTCGCTCGTTTTTAGCACCAGCTATCAGTGTACAAGTGATACGTTAGCACCTCGAATGAAAATGTGTCACATCACTGTCCCTTGTCCTGGTGAAGCACCGTGTGAACGCTAGTTTCAGCAGTTTTATGGCTGTTACACAACTCACTGAGGTATGATGAAAATCGGGAGGAATGTTACTGAGAGCATCCACAGAAACTAGAGGGAAGTTGCAGGCTAGCGAGATGGCTCCTCCAACCAAAACTTCTAAGTTCTATATATTACAAATGGGCCACTTTTTGTCTTTGCTCATAAAGTGCTTTTCTTCAAATTCTTTTTTTCTTTCTTGTTTTTTTTTTCCTTTTTTAAAAATCTCCTTTAACTACTTTATAACAAAATACACACTCAAACTCAATGTTTACTTGAAAGTCACTCCAAACACGGCACATCCCATCTGAGGAGCAGGTCAGGGCCACGGATCACCCCAGCCTGGATCTTCCGTGCCCGGCTACTCTGCCCTCCTTAGAGCAGCACTGCATCCCTGCTCCGGGATGGGGAAACGCTCGTGGTTTTAAGTCTTCCCACCCGCTGCTGATCCCTTGCCAATTTAATGATGTCTAAAGCAGCAGCTAGAGATCAGGCCAGCCACAAACAGTCCAGAACTGAAGAAATGCAAGAGAACAGCTCACCAGTGCCTCTGCACAGTACAACTGCCTTGTGTTTTACATGGGAATAGAAATACAGCATGGATGTCCATGGGCATATATTTCTGGATGGGAACACACCCACACCCCTATACACATTTGCACATGCTTGTGAGTTAATGCAATTTAGTACAAATTTCCCCATCATGATGCTTTTTTGGAAGGAACATGCATGTAAACAAGTAGGTGCGCAGTGCAGCATTACCATTAAGCACCAGTACGCCTTAACTTCAGGTGACAGGTACTGCTTAAATGCCAGCTTTAGATCCATATGCAAAGAACTCGGTTGGAGCCAGGGTCGTAACGCACAGCGCTTGCAGAGGGTCGTAACGCGGCCAAAGGTGGTTACATAGCAGAAAGTGCCTTTTAAATAAAGGGACTGGAGCTCCCCTAACGTAAAGCCCTTCCTGAACAGGTGTTATTCTGAACACATCGCCAAGAATCCTCTTTAAGTGCAGTTTTTAAAGATATGAAGCATTAGCACCTCGTTTTGAAGCAAGTTAAAAATCGGCTGTTACAGAACATCCAAAAACGGTTCACAAAGAGAAAGAGTTTATGGCCGTACCGAGCTCCAAGGACCAGCGCTCCAGGCAGCATCTCTAGGACAGTCCTGCACATTGCACTGCTCCCTGTCCGGCGGCTTGTCGAGGATCTCACAGCTCAGATCCGTAAACCTCTCCCCGTTCGGGCGCTGACAGACCACGAGCCGCGTCCTCGTCCCGGCCCCGCACGGCTTCGTGCACTGCAAGTTGGCAGAGGACGCAACAATTACAATTTTGGCAGCTCAAGTACTGCCTACCGGCAGCTCCACGCACCAGCGCTTCAGCAGACCCACTGGTTTTAGCCCACTGCAGACCAGACACGTCCCCCCTAAACAGCCCGCATGCCTCTGACATCCCAAGGGCTGCTCCAGTTTCTCTCTTCCCAGCTACTGGTCCTGCTTGACAGCAACATTGACCAGCCCAGCATAACAACAGAGGTTAATGTCTTTAACCTCCGTGATAAATTTTCTGAAGGGAGGGGAGTTTTTATTAAAAAGGCCTTCAGTTAAAATAGACTTCTTTTTAAATAAATAAATAAATAAATAAATAAATAAATAAATCTTTTGTAGTATTTTCTTTTGCTCAGAGACATTTTTCCCCCCACCCCATTTTAAGGAGAACCAGAACCAACCCCACTGCTAGGGATCGCTCGTTCTGCAGAAGCTGCTCCACTCTTTCCAAGGAGCGCCGCCCAAACTCACTGCCCCCTTCTCCCATTTTCCAGCCCCCCCACCACGGAATACCCGCCCCGGTGCGAGGAGCAGGAGCTCGGGGCGCGCTCACCTCTCCCCAGTTGCCGTAAGCCCACTGCGGGCAGGGCCCGGACTCGCAGGAGCGCTGCTCGGCGGGCTTGGCTTTCTCGTCGCAGTCACTCGCCGTGTATCCGTTCTCATCCTGGCACACCACGACGCGCCGCTGGAAGCCCCCCGCACACGTGCTGGAGCACTGCAAGACACAAATGCCCACGGACACCTTGAGCCTCGCGGTGCAGTCCCAGGGGCTCCCTCCTTATCCCTTTAGTGACACTAAAAAAAAAAAAAAAAAGGCAAAATTAGCCCAGAAAGGAATAAAAGAGATAAAAAACAAAGTGAGGGCACTCACAGCACCCCAGGGGCCGATGCGCCACTGATTGCCCCCCGGCACGTGCGCCCGGTTTCGGTTGGCGCTGCCTCCCGGCTGCAGCTTGAGCCGATGATCCGGGTAGAGGAAAGGGTGGATGGGCCTGCCGTAATCATGGCTGTTTGGGTGACAAGGAGACACGGAGCAGTCTTGCTCGGTGGCGGGCAGGTCATCCGCGTCGCATTCGCTTCTGTCCACCAGCTGGTCACTGTAATTGATGCAGATCACTTGTCGCGTTGCCTTACCTTGACCACAAGTCACTGAGCACTGCGTTACAGTGGGGAAAAAGGAGACACGGTCACATTTCCAGCTTTAGAAAACACCCACGCAGCTATTACTAACACAGAGCAGCTGAAAACCTCCATTTCCCCCCTTTTAAACATGCAAATATAACAGGTTGCTGAAATGCTTTTCCAGCAACAAGGTCTATATGGCTCTGGGGAGCACGATGCTTACGGAGCTCCACTCCAAGGCCTTCCACTGCCCACACGGTGTCACGGTGCACATCTCCGTGGCCGAGGGCTTCGGGAGGTGGAAGCAAGCCGACTCGTCAGCCACCGAGCCCTGGTCATCGCGGCAGCTGACGTATCGCATCCTGGTGCCTTTCCCACACGTTGCCGAGCACTAGGAAAGAGCGACAGGCGGTCCGCTAGGAAGCCGCTTGCTATGCATTGCAAGGGTGTTGGAAGACAAAGCTGGTCTTAAAATGCTTAAAAATAGCACACTGTCTACTGTAAAATAATCCCGAGAGCATTACAGCACACACTTACTGGTGTCCAGGATCCAAATCGCCACTGCGTCCTGTGAACGCCCGACACGGATCTCTTGGCTTCGGGACTATTTGGATGGGGAGGACACGCTGCTATTTCGCAGTCCTGTAAGGGAAATACATGAGGTGAAGGAGGAAAACAAAGCAAAGCATGAAAATGTTGCAGACATTTCAGGTAAGCTGCCTCCTCAGTCTAATTCTGAACAATGCCTTGAAAAACTGCAACCTGCATGTGGTCATTTGTGTTTTGGCCAGCTGGCTCCTTTGCATCCTCATGGACAGCCAGCAAAACTGGCTATTAATACATCCAATGGCTTCACATGCAGAACTTCAGTGGTCTTCTGGCTTCCTAGGAATGCTAAAATGCAAGGTTTTGGGGACAGGCTCTCCCATTTTGCATTGATACTGTGCCTAACCGGAAGACTTTGGTCCTGTCTGGATCTCACCGGAGGTAGGACAACATCAGTAACGAATAGCTGTAACCTTACTCCACAAGCCAACATATATTTGTTGCCAAAAAGGGGAAATGCACACTGATCTCCACTGCAAAGGCTCCTGACAACTGGAACAAATGATTGCCACATGGTCATCATTTTTCTTATGCTGCAGATGTGCACGCTGAACAACAGTTGATGACAAGTGGGTTTGTTACCCCTTGACTACAGCACCGTGGGTCTCCATACATGGGAAAAACAGTCCTTTTCGAAACGTTGTGGCCTCAGTTAAACTCTGTGAAGTCATGAAGGACCAAAGCTGAGCACAGCAGCAGCACTGTGACTTCCCTAGATGATAGATGGTTGATAACAGTCTGTTTTATTTAACTCCTTCAGACACCATGGGACACACGGGCTTGCAAGGGAAATTTATACCTGCAAGGGAGTTTGCTTCCGAATACATGCAAACCTAGCACGGGAAGCCTCTTCAGTAACTTTCCAAAGGATGGTCAATATTTCTCAGTTTATCAGCCCAGAGGGGCTGCAGCCAGGACTGCAGCTGGAACACAGGCTACACTGGCGCATGCAGCACATGAGAAGCAACAGCCCCCTCGTTGTCATTAGTGCCACACAGTGACAGTGCAAACCCAGGCAGCAGCCAAGTATCTAGACCCAGACCAAGCCAGACGGAGATGTCTGCTGCAGAGACTCGGCTTTCTTTCACTAGTGGATGCTGTCCCAGCTCATCCTCATGCTCTGTCTTCCTATATCCACCCATAACCCCTTACCTAGCTCACGAGCTGTTAGGATCAGCTCTAGTTGTGAATCTGCACAACCCTTTGTGCATTCCACCCTGTGACTAACCCTAGCTAACCATAACCAAAAATAGGGTTTTTTTGCAAGTCTTGATGTCCTCGTGACATGCTGCTTCTTGCCTTTTTGATGATCTGGCCATCCAGCATCTCTACCAAGACCTGGTGACACAGGTCACAGAGCCACCTGTGTCCTTGCCCAAGCTGAGAGAACAATAGTTATTTATAAGCCATGGGGAAGATGTGACCCACTGATACTCAAGACTACTCTCAGGAACATTGGTGTCCTAGCAGCAAGGATGATCAGTCGAGAGATAAATTTCTTCACGCCTGGGGGCCACCAGAACAGAGGACGAGGATGGGAATAACTTACCTGGGTGTCTGTTGGCCTGGTTGCAGCATTACACTCGTTATCATCCACCACCGACACATAGGTGCCTACCACACACTTGACAGCCCTCATCTGGTAGCCTTGGCCACAGGTCACTGTGCACTGGGGAAAAAAAACAGAAAGAAATGGCCGGGCTCTGAGCAGCTGCTTCATTTAAGAAATATTTAGCAGCCTCACCGAGCATGGAGCAAGAACAGTGCAAATAAAACCCATCTTTCCTTCTCTTTGCTTCAGGTATTTCAGCTTCACATTACATCGAAGTTTTAATTCACCACTGCTTCACGTCTTGTCCACAGGTATGTAGGTGTGAACATTTACATGATTTAGTCTTCTGAACATACTGAATTATGGTTTGGTAGAAATAGGATCATATCTTACTTCTGAACTAGTTGTTCAGACCTACAGTAGCACAACCAGCTAATGAATAATTTTGCTGATGGGGAATAAGTCTGGTGGGGCAACTGCTCTGGGTTTGCTGCTCTTTTATTCCAAGCCAACAGTTAACAGCTTTGTGGAAAACAAGATGCCAGAATACTCAAGACGAAACAATCAATTTGTACTTTAACTTTTTAAAAAAACAAACAGCCTGGAAGACATTAAAAACAACGGCTATACAATGGAAGTAGTTTTTGTGAAAATTAGGGCATGTATTTAAATGCCTAAATATGTATTTAGGATCGTAACCCTGGAAACAACTTTGTTGCTGTTGTTGAAAATCATGGCCAATTTAATATGACACAGATTAAATTTAGCACAGAGGGCAGGTACTGGCACTGCTGCCCATATGCTGAACTCTGGGTGTTTCGGTACACAAAGCAATTAGCACCATCACACAGTGAAGAAAACGGTGCCTTTTGGGTACCTGTCCCCACGGTCCGACTTGCCACGACGCACACTCCTGCTGCTGGCAGCTCTGCACCGACTCCGGCTTCGTTTCGGGGTCACAAAACCTGTCGTTCAAGCGATCTTCACCGAACTGGCACCAGGTCTGGCGATGCTTGTGCCCTTTCCCGCAGGTGACCAGGCACTGCGGGGAGCAAACACCAGCTCAGCGATGCCCACGGCAAGTGCTGCCCAGCAGCTTGTGGGCAATCGGCTGCAAAGCACCGCTTTGAAACTGGTGCAACGCTTTGAAACTGGTGCCCGGGGGCGGCTCTTTAACCAATGGCCACGAGGGCTGGAAAACACAGGAGTGTTTTCCCAGGACAAGGGATTGCCCCACAGGAACTGGTCTGCAGCACAGACTGGAGCATGGAAAACAGCTGTGCTGGGAAATGATATTGCAACTTGCTCTATCTGTGAGACATGAGGCAAAGCCTTACACGGCCTGCCAGGGCTCTAGCAGCGTGCAACAGGGCCATGGAGGCTTGTTAAAATAATGCAAACACACTGCCCCTGGAGAGCTTGTGATAAAGATCTTGCAGCTCCCGCAGGCTGCATGCGCCTCTTCCACCACCTCTGAAAGGTTCAGGCTCATAGGAGACAGATCTGGAATAGAGATATTTTGCTAGGAACCACGGTCAGTCAACAGTCCCCATTTCTCTGTAACTTCTTTTTATTATTTCCTAACAGGATGCAGTGCGCAAAAAGAAGAGCTATCTGGCCACAGAGGTGAAGCCTTTGAAGAACATTCTCCTAAATCCTTAGTTTGCAGTGAGAAAAAGTCAATTAACATGTTTTTTTTTCTGCATTCTGAAGGAGCAAAGGACTCCAGCTAGCAGCAACAGAAATGACAGGATTGAAGAGCAGGGAGAGGTGCATTGGTTGCCATGAGATATAGCCCTCAGAATGCACAAAGAAAACAAGATGAAGCCAATCCCAGCACACCCTGTTTACGGATGGGCAGGGAAAAGCAGAAATTTCTTTGCAGGATGGTGCCACAGCATTCAAGGCAGCAGCCCATGGGTCCTGGCTGTCGACCTACCTCAGACCAATCACCCATTTTCCACTGGGGACACAAGAAGTCGCTGCACCGCTGCACCGTCAGCTTCTCCTGCTGGCTGCATTTGCTGTCGTCCAGCACGTCGTTGTAGGTGTTAACGCACATGGCTCGCCGCCGCCGCGTGCCCCCGCCACAGCTTTTAGAGCACTGGGAAGGAGATGAACTGAGTAAGCACATCCTGACATCCTATCACAGGCCAAAAGTCTGTTTATTTCCTCTAAGCAGCCTCCCCTCTGTCACTGTGTTCATTCGGGAAATCCATCTTGGTGGCATCTTGGCCTCCAAGGACACACTTGGGCATTCAAAGGCTTTATGCTAAAAAATGTTAAGAAAACGTATTTGAAAGATTTTTCACCAGTGGCAAGATAGCCTTGCTGACAGCAGGACTAATGGCCTTGTATGGGAGAAGATGGACGAAAAGATGGGCTTAGCATGATGAGGACCAGTGTCAGGAAAGCTAAAAGTGTATAATCTTCACAGTGGAAAATAAGGAGCATGAGGCTGATTTGGACTAGCATCCTCAAGAGAAGGCAGTGAAAGCACCGTGGCCAAGTTTCACAGACCTGACAGCTTGGAGAGTGTCCTCAGAGAGGCTGTGCAAAGGAGACCCAAGCACCCCTCACCTCTGTCCAAGCCGAGTAGCGCCAGCCTCCCACGTTGCAGTCCCCTGTGCACTTCTCCCTCGTGCTCGGCTTGGGCTGGCTGCTGCAGAAGCGGTCGTCGACCTTCTCCGTCTTCCCTTCCAGCCGGTTGTACTTGGAGCAGTAGATCTCCAGCGTGCGGTAGCCCAGGCCACATTGGGCCGTGCACTCGCTCTTCCTCGCCACGTGCCACCTGCAGCAAGGGCAAGCAGAGCCTGTCAGCCACCTCAGCCTTCCTTATGGTTGGCACTAATTCCATCCAAGAAATCTGAAGGTGTAGAAAAATGCCTCTCAAAATACAGCTGGGGGATGTCACTGCCTTTTGTTTGACGAAGAGACAACTACCTCTTTTTCTCTTTTTTTTTTTTTTTTTTTTTGTCTAGCAGAAATTGCTGAGAAGAGAAATTATGGCAGGTGGTGAGAGGAGAGTAAATTATATTATAAATATATACATGATGTAATATATATACACACACAGATGATGTAATTATATACACAACAGAGTAAAGTGCACCTTAATTCACATTCTGTGCCGCAGGGCTCAGTTACTGGATCAGGCTGGGGAATTCGGTCACATCTTTGGTCTGACACCGTGAGCTGGTCCGACTCTCTTGCACACACAGGTTTCCTTTTCCTTTCTCCTGCTCAGAAGGAAAACACATTGTTTTAGGTGCATAGGAAAGCGCTCCTGGGCATCATGAGCCCGTAATGGGGGGAATCCCAAGGAAAGCAAACGGGGATGTATTTGTCAACACCACCGAGAGCCCAGGCAGGTGCAGGGCTGCAGAGCATCATCTCTGCAGCATCGCCAGGCACCTACCTTGGCACAGCTTGCTGCAGGGCTGCCACGGGCCATAGGCGTTCCAGTAAAACTGCTGCGGCTTGTCCTCGATGGGGATATTAAATGTATAGCGAACATCAGGGTTGTACAAATTGCCCACTGATAAAACCTGGGAGAAAAGAGAAAGAAAAAAAATAAAAAAGAGAGATAAGACAGGTAAACTGTTGACCGTTTTCAGCCCAACAGATGCATGCACGATGTATATGTACTTCACCTGAAGTGTTATTTCCTGCTCAATCCGATCAGTAGAATTAATCCTTTCAATAGTATTATCTGATCCGCTGTATTCGATCACGGCATTCCCAACTTTGATTTCCCTTTTAAACATACTGACGACAAAGTCTCCATTTAATATAAAGTCTCCTTGACTGTTAGATAAGGCTGCATAGGTGCAAAAAACAAGAACTAAAGACACAGAATTAACTCATACGCACATACAAAGAGGTCACATGCTCTTGGTGGCCCCTTTCTTTGGGGTGGGTGAAAAAATCTGCTGTTTTTCCTCACATGGAGAGGATGTAAAGAGAGCACACAGGTTTTATGGTCATCCTCCTTATTTCTTTTAGCAATGCAGAGCCTCGTTAAATTGAGAATTGCTCCCAAATGGTTCACCCCTAGCCGAGGGTAAGGAAATACCCAAGAAGTACAAACACATAAGCTAATTGCCCAATTTTTCATTTTCTACTGGATGAATTCAGGGAGTTTGGTTATTATCTCTCTCTCAGTCTGTCCTCTCCCCACCCCCTTACATTTTTATTATTCCAAATCTAAGGTATGTGGAAGTACTGAAGGCTTAAAGCCTAAATGCTTTATAAAAAGGAACAGTTTCCTGAAAACAGCAGTCTGCTGCACAACTTCACACTAATGCGATTATGTAGCTAATTTCCTAAGTTAGTTTCCCCACCATTTCACCCATCACAGCTACATTACTACAAAGCCTCTGCACTGAAAAATCTAAACTTAACACCAAAACACCAAAAGCAAAAGTTTTACACCGAACAAGGAGAGATAATGAAGCAAAATCTTGCTTGGTAGCAAACACATACAGATGGAAGCAAATTCACAAAGGAGACTCCAGACTCAGCCAAATTCCTTCCTTCAGAGGCTTTAATGCCATTGGGCAGTCCTAAAATGAGCCAAAGGATTCCTTTCCATTTACTGTATCTTTCTACAACAGGACTGTGTCTTGGACTTGATGACAACATCAAATTCCTCCTGAACTGCTAAGCAGCTACAAGGTTGGCAGTATCGAGGGCCCAAGATTTCACAGCCAGCGAGCTGCAAAATAAGTGGGCACATGCACACTTCTTTGCTCCCATTCGTGCCTAAGATGAAGAGATTCCTTCCCAGCAATATTAAAGCAACATTAGAGAAGATTTTACTTTGTTGCTTCCCAAGAAGATTAAGGGCACTCCCAAAACGAGAGGCTGGGGCTTGTTGTGAGGGAATGAGTCTGGATACAGTGGGGGGAAGGCTGTTTTTTTCCTAAGGAAATGGAAGAAAATGAAGCACACCTCTCTCCCTCAGGATGGAAAACTATCGTAGCTCAGTAAGCTTTGCAGGAGCAGTACTGTTTGGGCAAGCTGTGCTTGCAAAACGGGATGGAGTGCCTTGCTCGGAGATCTGATTAAGGAACTCTGGTGCCAGGAGTGCAGCTGATGGTGCACGAAAGGAGAGAAACGGAGCCAGAAGAACAACTGTCCCCATGGCCATAGCCCCATTCCCTACTTTGCAAGTGGCCAGAATGGGCTCAGGACACAAACAGCACTTAGCTGCAAAACCAGCCTTCTGCAGGACAGATATAAAATCAATTGCAAACTGCAGTTGTATTAACTTCACTAACTGCCCTTCACAGGGCTCACTGCAGAGTAAATTGCTGCTCGGCCTGGCGGAACAGCACACGTGCATGCAGCACAATGATTTTGCATCATATTGCACACACGTTTTCATGTCTCTGGAGACAAACCCACCAATTAATTGCTCATTATGAATGCACAATGGTTATGGTCAAGTTATCATTAAGTTTAATTTAAAACAACTTTGGTACGAGGTGTTTCTTTTCAATTATATGTGGTTGTCTGGCAGAGATAAGAAGGGTTTAGTTTAAGTGCAAAGGTATCACTCTCAATGGAATAAAAAAATCCTTCGTCTTTGAATTTGTTTGCACAGACACGCCTTTCTAGCTACAGCATATTTATTCTCCTGCCAGAGCATGGTGACAACAGAGACGCATTAGTCCAGCATTAAGATATTCCCAGGGAAGTCAGGAATCTGCTTTTTTCCCCAACTCTGCACCACTGCAGAACGAGTTCGATTATCCTTCCTAGCTTGAGAGCACCCTCAGGGGATATTCCTTATAATCCATGAACTCCTCAAGCTCCATATCAAGGATGGCCATCCTATTAAGTGGACATGCACCAAGAGATGGAACAACACTTAGCTCATTATGTCTATAGAGCACGCAAGAAATACTTTCATTGAGGAAAACATCTCCTTAAATGAGCTCATCATCTTCCTTAGCAGAAGATGGCCAGCAGAAATAGTAGCAAAACCACAAAGCAAAGTGTGATTCTGGACTGAAGCAAGTGCTGCCACTCACCCAGGTAGTTGTCATCCTCTGGTTTCCCTGAGTAACTGTGCTGACGCACATCAATGTTTGTGGCACCAGCTGGGATGCGGACCACAATGTTATAGCCTGGGAGAGATTTAACAGAAAGTCAAGGCTATTACACAGACATTTCATTTGCTTTTTATGGGGGGAAGTGAAATGAAGGGAAATTACCTTGCATTACACAAGCCAGTACTTTTCACTTAGGGAGAGCATAAATAGTTATAAAACAGAACATGCGATAGCTGGAAGGATTTTGCATTTTGCATCAGTGTTTTTGTAGATTAAGTGTGGAAATGGATTTTATAGACCTGCATTTTTCTCTATAAAGTTTTTAGCAACAGATTCTTACCATAATGCACCGTGTTAAATGTGCCTGCAATAGTTTTGCATGAAGAATTATCCCCACCACAAACGCCGCATTTGTCTCTTCTTGCTTTTGAATTCAGCACATGATCGCATCCGGCTTGCTTTAAGAGAAAAAGCAAAAAGCCAGATCAAGCAAACACAGCATTTAGAAATCCCAAATTAAGCCGCACAAAAGATTTGAGTGGAAAAAAAAGGCTGCAATGAGACAAATCGCTTTGCTTCCCTGCATTTTTTTCCACCGATTTACAGCACAGCCATCCCACACCATTGTTAAACAAAGGGATTTTTAACAAAGCAAGCATCAGGGTGGCAGTTTGCAGCAGGTGATGTCTTAAGACTGGTTAGGACATCTTTCCAAAGCAGTTTGTTACTACCTACTTCTTGGCTATCATATTTGGTCAGGAAAGGGGATCATCCCCTTTCCCACATTTTCACCATTGGAATCTAGGCACAAGTACTCCCAGGCAAGGTTTTGCTGCCAGCAACCAGCATGGTTCAGCATCAGCCCATGCTGCTGACTCGTGAGCAAAAGGAAAATATAAAAAGTCTTTGGGCTCTGACCGAGAAAACCCAGGACAGGCCAAAGGAGGACCAAATTTGGTTCTAGACTCAGCTTTACTCAGCAACAAAAGGCTCTTCCCCAAAACCCAGGCACGTCCCAAGCGCTCCAAACCGCTCAGCGGTGGGGGATGGACACCTAACGTGCAGAAACGTGACTTTTCCACCTAGCAAACCTGGGCGCTGATGCTGCATTTCGCCCTTGCTAACGCGGAGGGAAGGGGCTCACCCGGCAGAGCCCCTGCACGCAGATGTCGTTGGTGTCGGGCCCGCAGGGGGTGCCGTCGATGACGCGGTCCCGGAGCTGGTAGTAGGCCGTGTTGCCGGCCACGCGGCAGAAGAGCTTGCACCGATCCTTCATGAGGACTGCGGGTGAAAGAGAAAAAGCAGGAGTGCGTTAGGGTGGTCTCCAAGGGTCAGGGTGGTCTCCACAGGGCAGGTCACGCGCGGGCTGCCGCGCTTCCTTCCTTACTTCCGCTGTACTTGGGCACCCAGCGCACGTTGGTGGGCAGCCCGTTGATGTTGAAGTGCTTGCCGTCGAAGTCGGCGCACTGCTCGTCACGGAAGTCCTTCTTCAGCTTGGAGCACGGCTCCGTGTTGCACGACTTGAACTTCATGCGGCGGCCCACGCAGTACTTGCCACCGTTTTTAGGCCTGCAGGGACACAGAAATAGCCCCATCTATTTCTGCCTCATCTCCAATTGGGTATTTGCCAGGCAGAGTTTTCTAATCCTCCTGCATCCATTCAATCTCTCTGCTTGGGTTGGAGTCCCTCTCCAGGCCTCCATCTCTTCTCTCTGTCTCCATCAAGCTCTTGCACAAAGGCTTCCACCCATGTGAAGGTCATGGAAGGCACCATCACCCAAGACCTTTCTATGGACCACGTTTGCACAGAACCGGCCCTCCTGGTGCATCTTCCCATGGGGTCGGATGACCTTAGGACCAGACTGGAGATGGGATGTGGCTGTAGTCCTGCAGCTTGTCTAGTAGGACCACACACGTGGGTGTCTTATAAAAAGACTGTATAAACAAGGGAAGGAAAAAAGGACCAAAGCGGGAAAAAAAAGGAATATTCGCTCTCTGATGCAGCAGTAGAAAGAAACCAGAAAGAAGAAGCAATACCTTTCTCCTCGGGCAGGGGTTTAGTTTCATACTGAGGGATGCCATAAGTTGGCAGGGATCAGCTCTACGAGTCACAATCCCCATTGGTCCTACAGTTTTGGTGGCTGGGACTTTGCATATGACCACCTGGGTTGCAAATAACCAAAGAGCACAGCAGAAAGAACAGCTGGCTCCCTTGCAGGGCTGAAAGGCCAGTCCACATTTCGTCCATAGGCATTTATAGCCCCAAAGGTCAGCAATAGTAATGCTAGGCACTTTTGAATAACTTAATCTTCACTTATTTCAAATAAAATCACGCAGGAAACAAGAATAAAAAAAACAACCAACTTCATACCCATTTTACAGGAAGAAGAGTAGTGTATCACTGAGGAAAGGGATATGATCCAAGCCACATAAAAGCCAGTGGATAGACCTAGGAGAAATCTGCTAGATAATGTAATGCTGCTAGAAAAACACCCTTGGGGGACAGGCTAGCTGGCTTGCTGGCAGTTCAAAGGCCATTTCTACCGGGAACTTGCTAAGACTCTCATTTACACAGAGCCTTCTGTGGGCCCATTACTACAAAACAAGAACAGCATGCCCCATGTTTTAGGTCTTCCAAAGAAAAAAAACCACTCACTCCTGACATTGCAAATGTACTAGGCCCCTCCAGACTCTGGAGAGGGAGGAAAAAAGAAAAAAACAAAACTCCTAAATCTGCAGAAGGGGTTGGAAGAAACAGGATGAGCCAATACTGTGGAGTGCAAAGCTGCCTTTGGGGAGCAAAGCTGGGCAATGCAAGAGGTCACCTCCATCGGGGAGCTGGAAGGGCAGCGGAGCCTGTGCAAGCACCTACCACAAGCTTTTTATTCAGGATAAATGGCCTCCGCGGGGTGGCAGGACTACTACAAGCTCCCACAATTAATAACTGCAATAAAAACTGCTGCAGTACCAAGCAAGCAGCTTTGCTATCCCTGGATGACAGAAGGAAAGATACTACAGTGCAAATTAAATATCTTCCAAAATGCACAAATAAGACGGAGGTGGACACACAAGATGTGCTCAGGGTTTTCCTAACATAACATGAACGGAAAATCCATGCACATACACAAGGGTCTCTATGTACGACAAGGCAGCAAGCCTCTACAGCAGCACAATTTTATAGCATCTCTTTAGATACAGACACATCAAACGCCATGGCAGGGGAGCAGTGTCTTTCTTCCTATCCATAACAATTCCTCTCTCTTGTGTCTTCAAGTTATTTGCAACTGCAGTATCACAAGAAGTGCTCACATCATCTCTGTCTGCTTTTGAAAACACAGATACTTCCATAGCACTGCTGTGATTTGAGAACAGGCTTGTATGGGTTAGAGCCTTACTTCTTAAAGTGAGAAAAAAAAAAAAAAAAAAAAAAAAGATCTTCCTTTGAATATAATTAGTTAATAACAACATGCAGCTTGCCTTGTTTTTTTCTTTTTTTAAAAACGGTATATCTAAAAAGGTCTGAAGACCGCAAGGGACTAACCGTTTTTCTAGACATGACTCATGAGATTGAGCTATCACATTAAACACACGGGCTTGCCATAAACCAAAGGATGCTAAAACTTCCACCTCGTTTCAAACTGTCAGATTCATAACAGTCGCAGTAAATCTCCCTGAGACCAGCACTGGGGCCTTGAACACACTTGCAATCCTGACAGTTCAACACAGCTCCAAATACTCTGACAATTTTAATGCATTCCTATATCCTTAAAGATTTAGTATTGCTTTTCACCAAGTCTGAGTAAACAGAATAGAGTCAACCCTGAAAAATAAGTCAGCCTCATACAACATCAATTTTCAGTGTTGTGAAGAAATACTGGATCCTTCAGCACTATCTAATGTTTTCATGGATAACAATCATCCACCACGTGCCTCCGAGGGAAGTGGAAGCAATGCAGAGAAACCTTGCTGTGCCCCAGTTCCCCCTTATCTCTGAACCATTGCTTTTATCAAGCAAAGGCTGGTACGGACTCTGGCTTTCAATCTAAGGATATTCCCTCACACATCCCTGTGCTTTGCTGGATGCCTCCCAGCAGGGCAAAACTCTTGGGATGTGGCAATAGCTCTAGGGAATATCAAAGGCTTATTCTGATTCCCTCCCAACAGGACTGAAATATGTAATGCACAGTGCATTGCACCCAAATATTAACCTTGAGGAACCCCATCACAGCTCCTGGCATCTCACGGTGTGCCACGAGAGCTACAGCCCGAGATCTCCACCACCACATCCCAGCAAGCCCTGTCATCCACATAGCCCACAACCAGCACGTTCATCCACAGGGCAGTTCAAACATCAAACGGGGAAGGTTTTCAGCCCAGATAGAGAAGTCTAGAGACAGACTGAAATGCAGATGTGAGGCAGCTCATGTACCACTGACCCACTCCAAAAGCCACCCTGGAAAGCAGAGCTCCAGGGATCGCTGTTCTGTGAAATATGCTTTTCCCCTCCATAACACTGCAGCTAAGCCTTGCTTTAAAAAGCAAGGCTCGCCCTCCAGGCACTGTATGTGACGTGCAGCAGCCACGGGCTTTGTCCGTACCATCCTGCCCGCAATTCCCAAGGAGGCAATCCTGGTGGGAAGGGTCTGGTCTGGTTAGCTAATACATTCCTTAAGTGTATGTCAAAACACAGTCTGTTTCCATTTCAGAGGCTTACAGCTTCCTACAGTCCTGCAAAGTACTCATCCATGTAGGTGTCAGAGCACATTACAGACGGAGACAGGAGCTGCACTCATTTTCGGCCCGCTACGGGGGGAGGGTGCTCATTTTCCATGCCGGATTTAGCGGAGGATTTCATTGGCATGCAAGATACCACCCCAGATCCCTGCACACGGGAAAGCTTGGAAAGGGCAAAACCCTCTCTGAATAGGAAAGGCCAAGGAAAAGTATTGTGGAGCTCGCTCCAGGTATGTGGCTTGGTTTCTCCTGTCGGATAGAAGGTGGTGAAGCAGAAATTAGTCCTACTCAGGGTAGTTTTGAAGAGCTTGAGATGAGGGAGAGCGCGTGGTGGTGACTTTGCATCGCGTTTTATTCCCATTGCAACATCCCTGCAATGCGGTGTGAACGGGAACGCTGATGGCAGGAACCCATGCAAACTACTGGGGCAAAAAACCAACAAAATTGGCGAAAATCTCTGTGGATTGGGCTACACCAGAGGAGTTCCCGCTGAAACGGAGGATGCACCTAGGGAAGACGGGAACATGACCGGTGGCTTGCAGAGTTATTTCTGCAGGCAGATTGAGCCCCCTGACCCTCTTTGCCCTCCTGGGCCCGAGGAATGGCCAGTGAGGAGGAACATTTATGTAACCAGGCTGTTTTCACACCCATTGCTCAATTCTGTGCTAATATTTTGCAGGCTGGGCACTCGTTGCCTCCAAGCCCGCAGCAAAATTCTTTGCCATTTCAAAGGGTTCAGGCTTTTGCCTTCCGTGGTCATGGCAAACATTTTTAACTGCTGCTTTATTTCTTTTTTTATTGTGTACAGATTTCTGCTGAGGTTTGGCTGCTCTGCACAGCCTGCATACTCAAGGGCAGGGGGGGGTCTGCAGCAGCAAAAGAGCCCAAATAGCAATAAAAATGGTAGAAAACAGATAATTATGCAGCCCAGCACCTTCCCATGATCCATCCCCTCTCTACAGCACTTTTCCGATACAAAGTTCAGCCCCAAAAGGGGCCCAAAAAAAGGGATTTCAGCCAGTTTTTCCCCCCATCCGTGGTCACACTTACTCGGGCCGGTTGCACTCCCGGATTGCCGTCTTGATGCCCCCGCCGCAGGTCCTCGAGCAGGTGCCGAAAGGGCTCCAGGTGCCCCAGGCACCGTCCAGCACCGGCGCCTCCCGCTCCTTGGGGACGCACATCCCGAACCGGCAGTGCTGCGGGCGACACGCACACACAAAAGGGGAATTTTTGCATTACTTTTCATTAGCCATCAGTCCTGATGTCAAGATCAACAACAAAAATCTCGCTTTTGCTCTGTTACCCAAATTCTGCAGCTGAGCAAACTTCCAGGGGCAGAGAGGGTACTGAGGACATGGCTCTGTACTCAGCTCTAGCTTCAAGCACATATTGGGGGTTTTCCCCTCAAATCGCATTATCTTCTTTGCAGAGAAAGGAAAACAAGCAGTTTCAGTCTTTTGCAGCCTTAAACGGAGAAGAGAAGCGACAGAGCCCAGAAGCATGATTTATGGGAAGACTGAGGACAACCACCACTGAATGCTCCCTGCTTGCTGGTGGCTCCTGAAAAAGCAGCTTATCCGATTTCCTGGAGAGCAGCGGGAAACACTGAGTGTCGTAACAGGGGACGCACAACAGGGATAACATTTGCAAATAACAGGAAAAACTCAGGCCTCTCCACAGCTGCACACAGCCCCAGCGGAGAAGAGGGAAAGAACCAAAGCAAAAGGGCAAATAAAACCAGAGAATTCCTCACTCCAAAGTATTTTGCTCTCTCAGCCATAACATGGGACTTGCCAAGGCCTGGTCTACGCTTGTATTTTCCATCTGTAGCTCTTCTCTATTTTCTTTGGAAAACTGGTTTAAATTACCTTGGCACCCTTCTCCCTTCACTACTTTTATCATTCAAATTAAATCTCTTCTGGGTGTGCTGGCTGTACGCAGAAAACTCCAGACGGAGGAGACTTAGGGGAAAGGCACATCCCAGCCCCACCAGGACTGATGGAAAAACATCAAAAAATACCCCCAAAGCAAAGTTTCCCCTCTCCCTGAACAGCTCTTGCTAAAGTGGATTTAAACCTGGAGAGGTGCCTATTTGCTGTCAGATGCCTACATTTTTGCAGTTATACAAAACCCAAACATTGCTGATTGCTCACAAATGAGAAGAAATTTAGGGAAAAAAAATGTAGATGCACCATCAAAACAGTCCTTGGTAATATTTTACTACATCAGGTGCTGTTCAGGCAAGAAAACAGTCGCTGATCTTTATGGCAATGGGTCTAGTCTACCAACATGCTTTGTTCACTTCATCTCTACTTCAAAGACTGACTCTAAGGGGCTTCCAAAGCTGAAGGGTAGTTTCATACATGCGGGGCATTTCTTCAATGCCACAAGAATAATCCCCTATAAAAACTTAAGGGAATGTTCTGAGGAAAAGAACTTCGTTTGCTCTGTTTCCTGACAAAGTCAGGCCGAAGAGGTCTCATGGTGTCCAACTCTTTGTCTGCCACTCTACTGACCTGTGCATCTAGAGAGATGGGGCAGAGCGAGCAAAGTAGAGGAATTTGTTTTTATTTTTTTAAATCCACCTGAAGATTTGACCCCCCAGGTAGACACTATCTTAAAAACGCCTTTGCTGCAGCAGAGGACAAGAATAAAATTGGCTGAAATGCCGAGTTCCGCTGCTGCAGGACCAGCCCTGGCAACGCATCCCTCCTGTTGGCCTTTCAAGGGGGCAGAATGGGGACCCTGACAGTCACTTACAGGGACAAAGAGGTCTGGCAGCTACCGCCAGTGTATGAAAACACACGGCACCAGTACAACCATGTTGTCCCACAGGAGAGCTTGCAGAAACGTTGGCACTCACAGCTAAATATGTAGCCACAGTCATGCTTGGCACCGCTGACCTGCTGATTGAATAGCTAACCAGTGAATGTACACAGCTAACAGACCGTGTCGTGATCTATATGTCTCTCATCCGACGGTTGAGGATTAACCAGGAAATTACCTAAATCTCTTGATTTTGTTCCAAACTGGGAGCTTGCGATGATAGCAAATTGATAGTGAATCAAGGGGTGGGGGTAAAGAGCAGCTGTTTTGAATAAACAGCGAGATTATCTTATGGAAATGCAGGAGTGTTTCTTGCAGCCACACTGTGAATAGCCTGGCTGTGCAACCCGCGTGCCTTTTTTATTTTAAAAATAATCTCAATGCCAAATTACAGCAGAACGATTTAAAAAAAGAAGTCTGCCAGGGTGCTCTTTCCTAGGGGCTTGCAGATCAGAGAGCGGAGAGAATAAAAGAGTTTTTGTCTGGAGCAGGTTCAAAATAACTTAAACGGACACGAAGTTGAAGAGGGGAGCGGCGGCGGGGAAGGAGACTCTATAGCAGCCTTTCCTTCCCTTTGTCTTGCCACAGGGGCCTTGGATAATTCACCAAAACCAGCTCCCGGACTTGGGCTGATTTGGCTGAATGGATTAGCAGGGGGGCAGAGAAGTGCTGTGAAGCTTCACACATGCATAACTTATACGCTACCTGCTGCCGTAAGGGAGGGGACAGAAATGATTACTATTCATCTACGCTGCTCTTACCATTCTTTAAAGCAACCCTGAACGCTGCACAAGAGGCAGAGCCAAGCGTGCGAGCCTCTCTATTTTCTTCCTGTGCCCCGCAGTGATTTATTTCAAATTGGTAAGGCACGGGCACTTGCAAGCAGAGTAAATGACCATGACTGGGGAGCACTCAGCAAGGCTAAAGTCTAGGCTTGTTGTTTGATTTAATGGTATCAGTCTCAGTGCCCTCACATGCAAAATCTGCATAAGCTACTATTCCCACATTGTTTTAATATCTTTCACTTAAAAATAACTTTAGAGCCTGGGTAAGTCTATATTCTAGTAACTTTAGCTAGACTTTTCTTAGCTGTTCTGATTTTCTTTTCTTTCTTTTTTTTTTTTCCAAAGGTACCTCCATATAAAAATAGCATGGTCTGCCAACCATGGGCTTGCACCATGCAGACTTGAGGCAAAGTGTTGGTCTGCATGCAGGAATTTGACAGGGCTCCTAGTCACAGCAGAGCACCAAAACAGTGACTACGTCCAACAAAACACACTCCTGGACTTGCACCGTAGCACGCTACAAGCCCAAGAAAATAATGGGGAGGAGAGGGATTATGATGATCCAAACCTGAAGCTTGAGTTAGGCCAACTCACTGAGGCAGCACACAAAACCCTTCTTCCAGAACATGTTCAAACATCTGGAGATGATTCAACTGATTAGTCTTGCCCAAGATCCTGCCAGCTCTCAGCAGAGGAATTCAGGTCATCCTTATCTAAACTTGTGCTGCTCATCCACAGTTGCATGAACTCAACTCTGGTCATATCCAAGGTAACTGCAGATAATGTTTGCACAAAACTGCAGTTCACATATTTGGAATTCGGGGGGGGGGGGAAAGTATTTCTGAATAGACAGCTCTGAGCACCTCCCAAACTCACAAGTGGAGAAGTAGAAGATACAAGATCTACTGTTAGAGGTGTCCCACTTAGGAGGGGCTAGAAGGGACTTCAGAGATGCATAAGCTTTATCCGGATACTCCAAAAAGGGGAGAAGATTTTACCTAAAATGGTGAATGTAGGGGTGAATGTAGCTCCAAAGACTAGTGCAGGAATAATTCCAGCAATATTGCGATTCCAGCAATATCTCTGCCATATACTACCAACCTTAAAAACACCAAGTCTACCCTGGGTTGGCTCTGCTTTTCCATAATGAATGTAAACTGATAGATCATGCTCATTGTTTTGAATGAAATTAGTGTTCACAAAAGAGTTTCAGACACATGTAACAAAAGATTAATTGCCAAGGAGACCCATAGCCTTTGTGAAAAATTGTATCCAAACCAACATCCACATTCGAAAGACTATATAAGTTAAGATGCTGAGCTTTTCAGGGCAATGAAAGCTTTAACTACTGATCATTAATTTGCTACAAGAGTAGTTTAAGCTACACTTTTGTTCAGACAAAAATGCTGAAAACTAGTTGGTATATTTCTTCAAAACGTTTAGCATCAGCAAGCGAGAAAACAAGCCAGAAAGCAAGCAAGGAAACATATCTCCAGCTATTTTTCTCCAGATCTGGACAAGTGAAAACTAAAAGCTTATTCTCAAAAATTTATTTAGCTGGGAAAATATTTAGTTGGAACTTAATACTGCACGTGAAAATAAGTTTTTCATGAAAAAAGTGCCAAAAAGGCTCTGCTCAGAAAATGTCAGCTAGTTCTATATTTTACTCTGAAGCTGTCAAGATGAAAAGCCAGTTGTCAACTTTATGTTGTGTATAATTACTCGTGTCACATGGGAAATTTCTAGTAAACTCTAGGAAAGCTTTGCAAAAGTTTTGGTCATGAATTCACTCAAGAGTATGAATTTAAAAAGATGAGCATTAGAAAAAAAAAAAAGAGCACTACAGTAAACAAAATAATGCCAAGCAGTAGATTTTAAACACATTATTTGGGATACAGCTCCTCCACTCCCTATATGAAAGCTAGGGAGAGATGCTGTATCCCATAGAGCTGGCCCTTGGGACAGGATGAATGTGACTGATGCAGCTACAAATGTACATACAGATGTGCAGACTGACATACAGACGAGGTGCTACAGACCTTTCCGGGTTCACATTCGGTGCCATCAGCCCAGGGTGTGTGTTGAGTTCGACATCCCTTGTGCGCCCCATCAATGTTAATGCACCAAAGTCGCCGACATTGCATCTGCTTAAGTTATTGAACACAGCGATATATTAAATACATTCATCCCAGCTACCACACACCCGACTGGATGCATGATCCTATATATAGATATAAAAAAAAAAATGTCCTACAAGGATTTATAGTTAACTCACAAGGTCCACAGTAACTTGATGGCTTGTTGCATCCCCACAACCAGTGGAGCTGAGGCTCTAACCAGCTGGCAGCTGGTGGGTGTAGTCTTTATACCAGCCCCTTCCCCTGCTCACCCAATGCAGGGAGGTCTTATTTTGATCTGTGAAAGCCAGCAAAACCAAGGCATGGAATTGCACTTACCATATAGGGGCACACTTGAGATCCAGGTCCAAAAATTAACTCACATTGTTTATTGACATCATAAATGAGCCCCGGGAGCTGCTGAGGCAATGTGTAAGTTCTTGATGAAGGTTCATCAAGCAAACACTCCCCATAACCAGTGCTAGAACATAAAACAGTAGAAAAGTGTTAACTGGGAGGTGATAAGTCTACAACACATTTATTTTTACCTTGGTCATCCTTACGCCAGACGTGCACCCCCCATCTATCATATTTAACAAGCATCAAAACAGCTACTGCAATCTCAACTATGGAGCATAGAAAGACGCCTACCTTCACCACCACCCCATTTTTTACTGATTACCTTCCACCACAAGGTAGGCAAGTAGCCTAGCTAAAGCATGTCTGACAGTACAAAAATTTCCTTTGCCTGCAAAGCAAGTGTTGGAATACATTTAGATGGAAAATCATTGTTTTCCCTCTTGGGCAGCATGCAGAAGAACCACTGAAGGTACCAAGCTCCTGGATTTGCTTGAAAACCATCGTAGTTTCTTTCTGCTCTGCATCACAAGTGGGAGAACATCAGTATGGACAGTCACTATGCATCTAAGAGAGCCAGGACCTCCTTGCAATCTTGCAATCCCAGAGCAGACTAGCGCTATTCATGACCTGTGGAACAGAAAGGCAGGTTCTGCCTGCCTCCCAACACTCTGCATCTGGTTCTATGCCGGATATGGCTCCGTATCTGGGTCACAGGTCTTGGAAAACTCACTCTTCAGGTTCGAGGAGTATGCACATTCCTTAAAAGCAATATCCATAGGGGAAGACTTATTCCTCCCCATAGAGAGGTCATTCTTTGCCAGCCTTAATCATAAGGCAAAGCTGGCAGAGACTGGATGTCAAGGGCACATTGCTGTTCTACGTAAAGGGTGCGTGCACCTTTATACCCACAGAAATGCCTCCAATTTCCTCCAAATGCTGCACACGGGGAATTTGGGATTAACCAACATCCTGTGAGATATAACATAAGTAAAGATAGCCTAACACACACACATCAATAAGACCTTACTCTAGAAATTCAGTGATGTATTTCCTACTGCATTTTGACCACATCCAGGGATTGGTGTAGAAGTTCAGCGTTGGCGCCATGACATGCTGTTGATTTTTACCTCCATCTTCTTTGCACTTATGATTGTCATCGTGTGGCATGTTAAATCTAAGAGGAATACAGCACAGACAAGCACAGCTGGTAAGTGGCAAGTATTCAGTATAGCAAGAGCAATAACCTGAACTAAAAATGAGCAAAACCAAGATTTTTTTTTCCAAGACATGCTCCTAGTAGCTATTATGGAAGACAAATAGTAAAATCTTCAACATATTCAGAAGGACCAGCAGGCTCTCTTTCAAACAGTTCTGCTAGCACGTGGCTACAAAAAGCTACATAGGCCCCTGCTAAAGCTCTCCATGCTGCTACCACATATATTTAGTGTGACAAGTCCTTGACGGAGCCTTGCATAAGATGCTGTTTCCCTTCCAGCTGACAGCTGTGATCCTGCAGGCAGGCTGGAGACCATCCCCACCACGGTGAAAACGAGAAGTGCTTTGGAATTGAGATAATGAGCCAAGAGGTGATCACAGGGATTAAGTTTCTGCAGCAGAGGAATCCCTTGGGTCTGTTGGTCACTGCTGCCCCAAGCCTCAGGAGAGCAGGTTGGTTGTACAGCGCTTTCTAAAGCCGCTAAATACCTTGGGCCACATTCATTCCTTGCGCTGTTGCCTAAATAAGGCTGCACTGGGGACAAACTTGGTTCCCATATTTTCTATGGTAGGCTCCCAAGATGCCATCAAGCATCAATATCAACCTAGGGCCAGGCGAAGTCTGCAGCACATGACACATGGAAGAATGTGGCAAGCACACAACGCACACCGAACGGCTTAAACTGCTTTGCTACTTGAAGTGGAAAAGGGGAAATGACCCAGTGTGATCCTATGCTCGAGGACCTGGGAGTTTCTATCCCATTAAGATGACCTCCAAGGAGCCAATGCTTTGCTCTGCTTCCTGTAAAAGGGCAAAGAAGCATTTGCTGCTTGGGAGCTCCTCTAACCCCCTCCAGCAGCTTTGGGGCAGCATTAGCATAGGAATTAGCTGCTGTTTAGGTGTGGGGAAAGCCAAACCTTTGGGGGAATTTCTGTCAGGAAATCTCATTTAAACAAAAGCTAACCCTTTGCATGGGAAAAAAAAAAGCTTAAAACAATGAGCGATCTGTTCCTAAGAACTCATCCACACCACAACCACTGTGAACTGAGTGCTAAGGTGGTTTTAAATGGAATAAGCTGCTCAACAGAGCTGCAGCTGTGAGGGTAAACAGCTCTGCGATCTGAAGAGATTTTTCTTCATTATGCACTCAAAAAAATTTCGAAATCGGTTAGAAATTTCCATTGGAGGGAAATTCCACTGAGCTGCATCTCTGCTGGGCATATCCAGTAACATGAGCAACTCCTTAGTGAAAGGTTCCGTGTAATTAAATAGTTTAGCAGATACAACAAGGTCACATAGCTCAAGCATCTACCAGCCACCCTGGCCAAGCCCCTGCTTTCACACATGTGCTCTGCTGACTTCATGAATGCCTCACAGCAAGGCAGGACGAGCACTGATGGCCCAAAGAATTTTCCTGAGAAGACTTCGGTCCTGAAGACAAGGTGAAATGCGTCCATGCCCCCTGCCCTGATCCTCTCCAGGGCACCCAGCTACCTAGTCCTGAACAAAAAGTCAGCTGGTGCCAAAGGACTAAGACCTCATTGCAGAAATCTCAGAGATTTGTCTGCACATTGGTGCCAAAAGACCTGTCAATATGGGATGCTCTTCTCTCCACATCAACTGCTTGACATCTGGGTACCCTGTTATTGTTCATTCTCAAAAGCACTTCTCCCTCCCTCAATTGTGGGTCTGCTGTTACTGCTGCCTGCAGCTGGGCTGCAGAGCATCCCACTTTCCCCCAGAGTCACACCACAGCTTAAGACTTCCTTGGTTTTGCTTCTCCTACCCAGGCGTATTCATTTCCTTGCAGACAATTAGACTCAGCAGGTACCAACTCCTAGTGCTGGCAAGTACCAGCTAGCATAAATCTGGGGCTATTTAAATGTAAATGCATTTGCATAAGACGTACACATGGCCAAGTTCATGCGCTATTGTGAAAGCAGTGCTCAGCCCGTTATCTTCACTAATTGAACAGCTCCTGTATGGATCACAAACTGTGCCCAGCTCTGCCAGACCTAGAAGAGAACAGAGAGGTTTACAATAGCAGAGGAAATGTCACCCACGGTTCAGCACATACAACTAGCATTGTCACTACGCAAAAGCTGGAGGGACAAAGAAAAGGGGTTTTCTTACCCAGAGTATCACATTTGTCGTGCGCTCTACAAATATCCTGTCTGAAAGCAGAACAGATCTGACACATTAATTTTCAATGCAGCAAAGGTTTACTGAACAAGCACAATAATAATAATAATTTAAAAAGGCAAAAATAATTCTTGGATTTCCAACCTGACTTTGTCACACCATCCAACAGGAGCCCGAACCAAGTCTCTACCACAGTCTGAGATTTTCATTATGTTGGGTCCATGGTCAGACTTTGGACAGTCCTGACCCTTTAAGATTCCTCCACCTCTACGGTGGATATGTTCTCCTAACTGTATCCTTCCACCCACATCAAACACCAAATGCTCCCCTACCTGCATATATTATAAGCTGATAGCTTGCAGCTCTGACACAGCTGGTGACGTTTTTAACGAGAAAATTCAGCATACCTGGTAACCAGCACAGCTGTATCATGTTGAAGGTGACTTCCTTCAGGGTGGTTTTGGGATTGCTGCCATTGACAGAAGTTTTTTAATGTTGTCTGGGCATTGTAAGATATTGCAGGACCATCCTAATAGGCAATAAACATAAAACAGACACTTCAACTATTTATCACCAGGTTTAGTACAGATGGCACCGTCAAAAGCAGAAGCAAATCACTTCTATTACCTGTTCGTTATGTATCACGACCAATTTCACAATAACAATATTAATTAAATTTCCAATACTTGGGTCTTTGTAGATAGAAGCTACCTGTTCCAAAAAGAAGTGCCCAGAGTTATTGCTGACATTCAAGAAAACAGACAATTAAGACAACACAAGCAAGTTTTCCATTCTGCAGCTGCTTTTGTTCTGAGCTGCTCATCTGCTCCACTCTGTGTTATAATATTATATCTGACCTACAGGAACCCTCTGCACACCTCTGAAAGCAACAGTCCCACCAGCAGCACAATTTCAGAATGAAAGAAAACTGCTGGTATTGCAGAAACAAAGTTTCCTCCTGCTTTGACAGGTCTTTCACCAAATAACAGCATCATTCTGCTCTGACATGTGACAACTATTGTCCACGACTGCCAAAAGCAACTTATTCTGCCTACCGCCTCATTTGGACACAGCCATTTCTAGATTATCTATCCTCTGCACGTCTACCCTCTAATGGGACAAGAATCATGGTTGGGAGATGACTGCGCTGGATGCTGCTCATCTCCCAGCAAAATGCAGCTTAGAGCCATGAATCCCAAATAAGTCGCATCAAGCTTCCCTCTCATCCCAGAAACATTTCCACACTGGATTGAAGCAAATGGACGGCATCATGAAAGGAAGCTCTGCATCTACTAAACAAATAGAGATCTGTGGATAAAACTGCTTCCCCAGTCTGAATACTTACTATTGACATTAATGTTAGGACATAGTGCTGCAGATTAGCTCCATGGTAGGCAACCATCCTGCTATCGGCCACGACCATCACCTCGACAAACCGAGGGTAGGAGAGAAACCGTTTTGTCCTTCTGTGGCTCTTCTTGTCACTGACGTTCCCAGTCTTGTTGCTCTCCATAGAAAATGTTTTCATGTCAAGGTTGTGTTTTAACATCTCCACGTCAGACAACATGCTGCTTTCTACCCACTGTTTTCTCCAATGTTTCCGCTTGCTCTTTTTGTGACTGTTTTCATGACCTACAATTAAAAAGCAGAAAAATGCATAAAGCACACTCTATACCGAGCGTTGTTCAAACCATGTGCATTTAATGTCAGGAGACCTTCTTATTTCACCCAAGAGTTGGCAGGTTTGCTCTAAATAGAAAGCCAGAGCAGAAGCACTTGGTAGAAGGCCACCATTGAACCCAACACTTAAGTTTCTTCTTAACTTTTGAAGATAAATAGTCATTCTGAAGCCAACAACACTTAAGCTTGACAGTCACCCACAGGCTCTCCCAAAGCTGAGCTGTGGTAGTGCAGGAGGAACGCGGCCACAGCTTGAAGCTGCTGATGGTAATTAGCCACCATCGTGAGGATTCTGGGCACGTCCAAGGTGGCCAGGAAACCACAGGAAACAAAGGTCCAAATCCTGTATTTCTAACTCAGGCATGAAGGACAGCAGGATTTGGCCTTCATAGTGAGGCAATTATATATGATTTATTTCTGTCTCTAACAATAACATGGCTAGGCTTCAATTCCCCCCCTCCCTTTATTATTCTGTGCTACAGGAATGGTAAAGGTCATCTAATAGCACAGCTGCCACTGGCTAAAGAATAGAATTCAGGAAGTTTCACATATACCGCTTTTGATATTCAATTAGGGCAAACATAAAAGCAGCCTGAAAATATACTCCATGCTGACACAAAGACGACAAACCGAAGACAGGGAGAGGGCAAGTAAAACATATGGAACGTGTACAATTAAGATTTACCATCTGATTAGTATGTAATTAGAGCATTATTTAAATGTAAGAGCAAAATCAGCTGCATTTGATGCCACTTAATTTTTAATCAGTTCATCATAGGAAACAGTTAATTGAATGTGATTCATCCATACGGGACTGTGCGCTTCTGCTAAGTAATAGAAAGCCCAATCTGAACTGCTCCAGACTCCAGGCGAGAACCAGCCTGCACTTTGTAGCTTTCCTTTCATTTTGTCACGCTGCCGAAAAATATCACATTTCCTTATCTGAACAAATGAGCAAGTTAGAGGAAATACAATATTAGGGAACAAAAGAATATTCAATATACTCAAACAAGATTTAAATGATAGGAAACTTCTTAGTTATTCTTCATGAGTAGTTTCCTTCTAGGATACTTTGTAATAATTTCCGAAACAAGAAATCCAGAAATATATTTTCTAATACTAAGGCAGGTTGAGGGCCTTGGCCAGCAGCTACCCATCCAAAAATACCATTTTTTCAAGGGACACCTCTACAGGTAATAAAGCATTTAAAAATTAAACTCTTCTGCTTAATCCACATTCCCTAAGCCCTATGAATTCCTTCACAGCCCAGACCACCTTAATGCAGCAGAGTTCACTGTTATTTCGGCAAGCATTTGTGGAAGCCAACGGCGCTTGCGATTATAATTGGATTGCCCTGCTTCTTCTGCACTAATCAACGCCGTGGGCTTGGCAAGGCTCGGCTCTCATGCTGGCACAGCTTCGTGGGCAACCATGAACATTATCCCAGCTTCTCCATGCCAGGTGCTGCGGGAAGCCAACCAGGCGTGCAAACAACTTCTAAAGGTGGGGGGAAGACTAGGAGAACGTGCAAATGTCAGCATGGCATCCAGCTCCCTTTTAAACAGCTGAGGCCTTGCAATAGGAGCCCTGGGAGAAGCACACTGAAGATGATGAGATGGAATTCAGACCAGTGCTGGCATGATTTTTTTTTTTTTAAACATACATATGAAGTCACTGAAAGGTACAGCACAGTCGGGCAATAGTCAGGTATAGTACGTTGGCCAACATAGTTACTGTCAAACTAAACAGAGGCGAGCAGGGGTATGTCCCGTGTAAATGCTCCCTTGGACTTTGATAGTAGTGAGCTGTTATCTTCGCCCATCTTTCTGGTGCCTAACTCCACTTGGGGATGGTGCACATTCATCTGTAAAAAATTAAACACTAATGGCAGTGCCCTGCTCACCACCCATGCATAAAGCTCCCACCAGCTTGAGCAGGAGTTGCACACAGGCTCTGCACGCACTCCAAGCACCCAGAGAGGCTGATCCTGTGCTTGCAATGTTGAGATGGTCAAAACAGAAGGGGTTTTGTTGGATTTTGCCGCAGTTTGATTAAGCAAAAGCAAAAAAAAAGGCTCATGGGCACAAGAAAGTCTTAGTTTCACGGCGAGGGTTTACTGCTGCAACACAGAACACTGAAAAGGATGTGATATTTTTCCACCTGGCTTTGCATTTGTGCATCTCATTACTATATTAACAGGGAACAGGAAGTCAAAGGGTTTGCTTGGCTATCTCTCAGCTCTTGTAAAAGACCTGAAAAACATCTACCTACACACGGCAGTAAATGGAGGGGTTTAAGTAACAGAATATATTTAAGTCTGCAGAAAAAAAAACAATCCCAAAGAGCAAGCAAATGCTCAAGAGCCTAGGCTCTAAACCCATGCAAATTGCAGATCAATAATTTGAGAATGAAGCAAGTCTCTGTACAAATTCAGCAGCTACTACTTGATTAAATGGTTAAAATGCTGCAATAATGTCTAGTTCAATGCTTGCTTTAATCAAACAACATGGTATTTGCAGTGTCTTCAGACATTCCTAAAGGTGTATGTTGATTTATTTTTAACTCGCTTTCTTCTTTTTATGGAATGCTTAAAAAAAAATAAAGAGAGGCTCAGTCCTGTGACATTCACTGTGACAGGGATATTCCTTCCTCCTGGCCTGAATCTTGATCAGCCATTTATGCCGGTCTCAACTGTCTAACAAAATGCTGTCCATCAGATTTGAAGGCATCTCCCATCCCCAATGCCATTCGATTGCAGTTCTTTAAGAAGCCTCAGTCCATGGAGCCGATTTACAGCCGATTCCCACCGATTAATGGACTTTGGATCTCTCCCAAGGGAGAGGGCAGTGGAGAATCAGGCACTAAGCGAGTACTTTGACTGCATGAAAGGGTGACAGGGACCGCTTTTGAAGTGGTAGCTATTGTTATGCTAAAACCCAAAATTAAAAGAAAGGGCGAGATCGCTTATCCCAACAGTTCTAATCCTTTCCATTTCTACATTAACTTGTCCTTGCAATAGAAAGCAATTTGCACAATTAACAGGACATGTGACAATGAAAGTAATTTCAGCTCAGCTCCAAGTTCATGAAAGCTGCCCATAGTAGAGGAGGAAAAAAAAAATAAAGAGAGAAATAAGGAAAATAAAAATCTGCTTCTCAAGCTAACAACATTAATATCCTCTCCCTGTTCAAAAACGAGCATGGGGCTTTCAATCCAACCGACTATCAAACGTTTCCTGAACAGGCAATTTAGGATCTTTACAGCAAAGTTCACTCCTTAGTGTCCATCCTACAACATTCCCAGCGCTCCTCTGATCTAGCTGAGCTAAGGATCAAATTTGAGCTTGCAAGTTAATTATTTACTGCCCACCTTCATCAAGCAGAGTAAAATTCGTCTGAACTCCCTTTGGGCAGTCAATGAGTTTGGGACACAATTCCCTGATGCCAAGGAGGAGCTGTGGGAACAAACCATTCATGATCCCACAGCAGCTCTGGTTACTACTATTAAACATTTCATCATTCATTTTTTGGGTTACAGGCTCATTTTCTACCTGCCCTTTCCTGTTGCTGTCAAGGATTTATACAAGCAGAGGAAAATGGACTCTCAAACCGAAAGTACAATCAGAACTATATTTCAAGTAGCACACATTTGGGTTAGTTTGCTTGTTTAGAAGAAATTTATCAGAATTAAAAGAAAAAACAAACAAACCCACTATTTTAGCATCTTTTCTGCTAAAATTTACAGAAGCTACTAGTAAAGAAAGTAAATATAAAAATCCTTTCTTGTTCAAGGAATAGGTACAAACAGCTACATTTTCAGCTTTTCAGCTAAAAAGGCAATAAAGAAAAGCCCATCCTTTATTTAAACGCTGCAGCATTGGCCTCAGCTTCCACTGCCCAGCACATGAGATGCCCTTTCCCAGTTTCTAGGCACATTAGGAGCATCTCACCCAGCCGCCCCGCTCTTGCTATGCCTCACAGGACACGGAAGAGGCCAAGGCATGGGATTTCTGCAGAGATGCTGAGCCCAACACCACATTCTGGGCCAGTCCTGGTCCCTCTTCCTGCTGCTTCAATCAGCACACTTGAGAACCACGTACTTGCATTTAGGATCAATCAACTGCTCGTGGGAAGAAAATACTCTCTGCTTTACAGACCGTACACCATACGAGCACCAAAGACCACACATACTCCAGCCGTTTCCTTTCCCAATGATATATGTGTGAATGCATTCCAGCTTTAAAGAACTTCCCTGCGCCTAAGGTAAAATGTTGTACCTGAAAGCCATCAATTCTGTCCAGGAGACAAACTAGCTTAATTAACAAAACAATGAATTGCCTCTTAAAGAAAGCTCAGAGTCACATACGAGTTGTGCATGTGGCAGAAAATGATTAAAGATCATTTTACAGGCATAATAACCGCATCTCACACTTGGAAGGCATTTATTACCCAAATTGCTCCTGACATTAGAGAACCTTTGCTGCTCAGACTAAGTCTGCAATGTTGGAGCAAAATGAAATGGTTAAATTAAGGTGGAAAAAGCATCATCACTTTGGTACAGAATTGGTTTAAGGCATGCCTCAAAGTTACAGCACTGAAAGTCACCGGCACAGGTTCCCATGGAACTGGCCCATGGAAGTTATCCCAACTCTGTCAAGGGCTGGACACTTTGCTCAAGGGTGTCTCAATGTTTCACCCAGCAGACATGTACTCGAGCCAGGCTGTGGGTCCAAGGACACTGTGGCATTTCAGCACACCAGGAAGACTGCCAGGGATGGCACATCCTGCCATGCAGCCTCAGTGCTGCTTGAATCCATTCTCCTGCAGAGCTTTGGAGGCTGTGCTTACTGAACCTTGGGTTGCTCAAGGACATTCAGACTCCCACGCTTGTTTGCTCACTCTTAATGCATCTTGTGTGATGAATCTCACTTGTAAATAATTCATAAGCATTGC